TTCCCTGAAATGCAGAAATTTGAAAAATTTTGTAGAAGGGCACTAAGTAAATTTGATCCTACCTAGATATTTTGAACCCAAAGGAAAAACGTGAGAGGTCCCATATTTTGTCAGCCACACAGCAGCGTCGCATGGGTAACTAGGATTATGCTTTTAAGGAAAACTGGGAAATTGCTTGTCTGATTTCTTTTGACTCTAATATGTCCTCTATTTATTCTTTTCCACTTTCCCTCTATATCTTGGAGTCCTCTTCTAAATTAGGGTAACCAAGTTTTGACTTCAGGAACTGCAAGTTTAGGTGCAGATGCAGATCTACTGCAATAAAGCCCACAGAACTGTAGTGATCGGTAGTGTATTACAGAAGAAACAAAAGTTTCCGTTATTTTCCAAAGTATTGACTCATGGAATTACTTATTCTCTATACTCTTTTGTTGTTCTTGCTGTTGTTTTAATGTAAGCTCTACGCCCAGCGTGGGGCTTAAATTCATGACCCTGAGATCAGGTGTCCCATGCTCTATTGACAGCTAGCCAGGTGCACCATTTCTCTATAGTCTTTTTAGCTGATCATAAAACATTTTTTATTTTAAAAAAGATAAAAATAGTAAAGAATGAAGAAAAGAGGGAGGTAGGTTAAAAAAAAAAAACAACTGGACCTTCAATTAAAAAATATCTAAACACCTTATTTTTGAAGTTCCAAAACTGAAACCTGCTTGTTCTCTTCATCTCTCAGGTGGTGTGGTAAATTAACCACACATAAGCATGCCAAAGTCAAATGAGATATGGAGAAACAATGACAAGGCAATTTAAGATCTATAAATCCTGAGACATAGTTCTTAATTTCAATATTTAAGAAATTAGTTATATACATGAGCTAAGCATGAAAAACAGATTTAGGGTATACGAACACCGAAAAGCAGGATTCAATTACTTAAAGAAGAATGCAGAAATTTCCTAAGTATGGAAAAACTACAAATATACACATACATAAATTTATGTTTATTATTCTTTTACTATAAAGTTCTATGTTAAAACATTCTTCTGGCAACACCATGAAACAATACTCAAGATAGTTTTGAGTCCTATCAAAACACTGACTTAAATGTGTCTAGATAATTACTTCATTTTCCACGAAATAGTTCTACTAAAATAAGTTCCCATTTATAGGCTTTCTTTTTCCATTACAAAAATACACTTATTCCAAAACAACATACATGAGGTTGATCCAATTTATTAAGTATGTTACTGAAACGCTGGATAATTCATAGCCCTTTGGACCTGTCTTCAAAAGATGCTCATTTAAAAATCAAGTACAAAACTATCATCTACTAACATAGGCGTCCAATTTTAAAACAAGCTTTTATTTGTGTAACAAGTTCATTTGATTTCTTTTTTTTCTTATTACCAAAATGCAACTTACTCCTCTGGGCCTTGATGTACAAACATGACTTCCTAATCACTCACAAGATTGCTTTGTAAGACTCATGGAAATTAAATTACTATAGTTTTTATAAACACTATTCCCATCTGCAAATGGAAATTAAGCTCCTTACAATATTTTAGTATGTCATATATTTACGCTGGTTTTCAAACTGGATCATTTCAGTTCCTCTGTTCCTCTTTTTTTACTGTGTAATAGCTATCTTGGAAATGTTATTGCTGTGTAGGTGGTTGGGTAGTTACTGTAAATTCAACATTCTTTCATTATTTGAAATTTTTTATAGTAGAATAAAAAAGAAAAAAATGGCAGCTCGAAATGTTCACAGGCCAGAGTTATAACTATGTTAATAACTGAAGATGATGGGCATCCTGGGTGGCTCAGCGGTTTAGCGCCGCCTTCAGCCCAGGGCGTGATCCTGGAGACCGGGGATTGAGTCCCACGTCAGGCTCCCTACAGGAAGCCTGCTTCTCCCTCTGCCTCTCTCATTCTCTGTCTCTGTGTCTCTCATGAATAAATAAATTTTTTTAAAAATTACAAAAAAAACTGAAGATAAAATGCAAGTGATTTGTCTACCAAAAGTATGAATTCTTACTTCCAAACTACCGACATCAACCTTTAACGTAGTGCAGGAGCTGCATTAACTGTACCCTACATAATTTTACCTGGTATATAGTTAATGCTTCCTGCCATTGGTGCAGAAGAGAAACAGATCTTTACCAAAGGTCTTTCAGGAAGAAAACAGAGAAAAGGTTTCCAAGTATGTCACATACTCAATATATTCTCAGCACCTTTGGAAGTATAGTTCCCTTGGCTCAAGAGAAAGGATTCCTGGATTACACATTCAACCTTCCTTTGCATTCTGACAAATGTGTGGTTTTTGAACATTTCTTTCTAAGGGCCATATGGTATACCAAAACTACATCCCCAAACTCATGAGATCATTAAATTTTGCAAGGGTGTTATTGACTTCTGTTCTCATTCCATAGGTTAAAAAGTGTTTTCCTAGTCTTTAATCACTAAAATAGTTTTGGCTTTTTCTTATTAATTTTTCCATAACACTTTTATATATAACAACTCCATTGGGGAAATTGTGTTATTGTCTTAAAATACTTGGGAGAAAGAGGGAAATGGAACTACTACACTTTCAGAGCAGTTTATGTCAAAGTGACAGTGAGACCAGTATAAATATATGTAGCTTCTTATGAATTAAAATGATACAGGGTTTGTTTGTTTTTTTTTTTTTTTTGACCATTCAGGTGAATGAAAATGAAAGACTATTAGCCTTAGTCAATTTTTAGATTCACAGCTGCATAGCACGACATATCAAGATCACGAGTGTACAAAGTAAAAGAACGACCACTTCACAGATCATCTGTGCACCACGACGCCCCGCGCCCAGCCCAGCCAACACCCACACCAACACCCACACCAACACCAACACCCACACCAACCCAACCCAACCCAACCCAACCCAACCGGCATTTCAGGAAGTTGATAGGAAGACTCTGGGGCAGAAAACGACCCCCAAGGTGCATCCAAACCCCTCCTCAGCCGTAAATGGCAAAGAGAGTACAGAGCAGAACCTGCCTCGTGGCATGAGCTTCACGCTTCACAGTTCATCTCCTGACTATGCCTTGGGGGTCCCCCGCCCAGGCAGACTTGGCGATTGGATAAAAGGGAGCCATCGGGGAGGTTCTTGGACCGGAGATGGGCTGGGGAGGGCACCGGGGTCAAGGGGGACCACAGGGCCCGAGAGGTGGGACGGGACCCAGGGGGCACCTAGGATTGGGGTGGGCGCCAGGGTCGAGGAGGACCACGGGGCCCAAGAGATGGGACGGTACCCAGGTGCACCTGGGGCTGGAGAGGGCACCGCGGTCAAGGGGGACCACAGGGCCCGAGAGGTGGGAAGGGACCCAGGTGCACCTGGGGCTGGAGAGGGTACCTGGGGCGGGCTGGAGAGGGCGCCGCGGTCAAGGGGGACCACAGGGCCGGAGAGGTGGGACGGGACCCAGGGGGCACCTGGGGCTGGAGAGGGTACCTGGGCGGGCTGGAGAGGGCGCCGCGGTCAAGGGGGACCACAGGGCCGGAGAGGTGGGACGGGACCCAGGGGGCACCTGGGGCTGGGGAGGGTACCTGGGGCGGGCTGGAGAGGGCGCCGCGGTCAAGGGGGACCACAGGGCCCGAGAGGTGGGAAGGGACCCAGGGGGCACCCGGGGCTGGGGGGGCACGTGGGGATGGGGGGGCACCTGGGGCTGGGGGGGCACGTGGGGCTGGGGCTGGGGGGGAACGTGGGGGGCACCTGGAGGGGGCACTGGGCCGGGCGCCGGGGGCGGGGGGGTGGCCGGGGGGGGGGGAGGCCGGAGGGGGGAGGAGGGCCGCGGCCGGAGAAGGGGCGCGGGCCCGCGGGGTGGAGCCGCCCGCCCGCCCCGCCCCCGCGCGCAGCCCCCCGAGCAGGCGGCGGGGCGGGGCCGCTGTGCCCGCCTCAGCCCTGGGGCGCCTGCCGCGGCCCGTGTGCGCGAGCCCCGGGGCGGGGTGGGGTCGGGGGTCGGAGGTCGGGGGGTCGGGGGGCCCGGCGCGGCCCGAGCGCGGGGCGGGGGCGGGGGCGGCCGAGGCGGAGGAAGAGCCCCGGGCGCCGCCGCGGCGTCCGCGCAGCGTCCCGGCGCCCCCCTGCGGGCGGGGAGTGTTGCCCCCGCTCCCCGCCCCCGCCGGCCGCCCGCACCCCCCCCCCCCCCCCAGCGTCGGCCCGGGCAACAGCGCCAGCCGCCGGCGGCGCGGAGCTCACCTACCTAGGACCTGACAAGCAGGAGCCCCTCAGACCCGGGAGCCAGTCGCCACCCCGCGTCACGGGGGCCGCCGCAGCCAATGGGCGCCGCCGTCACGGGCGGCCGCGGCCAATCAGGGCGCTCTCCGGTCCCCGGGCACCTCGAGGCCGCAGCCAATGGGCGCGCGCCGGGGGCGGGCACTGCGGCGGCCCCCCCTCCTCCCCCACCTCCCAGGAGGCGGGGCGCGGCCGAGGTCCGGGGGGGCCCGGCGGGCGGGGCGGGGGGCCCGACAGCCTGGGGCGCGCGCTGCCCTCCTGCAGCCCCGGGAGGCGGGCGGGGAGCGGGGCGGGAGGCGGACGGACGGCGGCGTCACAGGAAACTTGGGGAGGCTCGGCCGGCCGCGACCGGGAAGTGGCCGGGCCGGGGGCGATAAGCGGGGCGGCCCGCGGGGGACGACCCGGAGTTGCGGCCGCCGGAAGGGGCCGCGGGGGCGGGGCGGGCCGTCCCGGGGGCCGCCGCTCACCCCCGGAATCCTCCGCCCTTCCCGGCGCGCGGTGCATGCGGGCGCTCTCGGCCCGGCTCGGCCGACGCAGCCCCCCCCCCCCCCCGAGCTCCCGGGGCCTGCGGGCGGTCGGACCTGCCGCGGGGGCGCGCCCGAGCGTGCGGCGGGGCCCCCGCCCCGATCCCCCCAACCGATGCCCGCCGCGATCCCGACCCGGCCCGCGCCCCGATCCCCGCCGCCCGGTGCCCGCCGCCCGGTCCCCACCGCCCGGTCCCCGGCGGCCGCGCGCCGCCCTGACCTCTTCCAGCGCCCGGGTGCGCGGCCCACCCCGACCGGCTGGCTCTTCCAGGGAAGGCGGTTGCAGGAGCGCCTTCACCCAAAAGAATTCAGTGGGAAATGAGTAATGTGAGCCGAACAGAGATAACTGGGTGATGCGCGGCAGCAGCTCAGGTGTCCCGGTCCCCGTCCCCGTCGGGGCGTGTGCGTGTGGCCCAGCTCTGAAGGCGCCGAGCCGCGTACGGCGGGGGAGCCGAGCCGCATCCTTCGCCGGGAGCACAGTAACGTCAGGCTCCTCTCCACCCTCCCCCACCCCACCCAGAAACTTGAATTACGTGGAAGCCAAAGAAGAGTGGTGAATTTTCTGTGTTCAGCAGGGTGCTTGTTTAAGCACAGCGAACAGCCCTGCACAGAGACAAACCGTAGATCGGACTTTGCTTGTCTGCCGTTTCAAAGTCAAAAAAAGGAAAAGAAGAAGAAGAAGGCAAAAATAATGCTGTTAAACAGAAAAAAAAGTTTTAAGCAAGAACCTTAACTGTTCGTCTTAAAGGTGTGGGGAGAGATTTCCCCTTCTCAGTTTGCCTTAGAAAACCTGTCGTTGAGTATTCTTACTTCTTTTATATACATCCTTTTTAAAAAGTAGTTAGGTCGCTGTCAGCTAGTGTTTTGTCAGCTTTACATTCCAGGAATGTCTTTAAAGACTTGGGAGATACCAAGATATCACTCTGAAATGGGAGCATCTAGAGCCGGAGCAGCACCCAGAAATGGATAAAGAAAATGTGAGATAGAGGAGATACCACGCGGCCAGAAAAAAGAATGGAATCTTGTCACTTGCAACTCTGAGGATGCACCTTGAGGATACTGTGCTAACTGAAATAAGTCAGGCAGAGAAAGACAAATGGCCTATGATCTCACTTTATGTGGAATTCAAAAAAAAAAAAAAAAGAAAGCTCATAGACGCAAAGAGCAGACTGATAGCTGGGAGTGAGACTGAAATGGATGAAGGGGGTCAGAAGACACAAATTTCCAGTTGTGAAATAAATATGCCATGCAGATGTAATGTACACCACGGTACTAAATATTATAGTGCATCTTTGAAAGTTGCTAAGACAGTAAATCTTAGGAGTCCTCATCACAAGTTAAAAAGACTGTTGTAATAACTATGTATGAACTAGACACATGATGATCATTTTGCTGTCTATACAAATATCAAGTCATTATGTTAAACATCTGAAATCAATATAATATGTCAATTATACTGCCATAAAAAAGCAAGCAGAGATAACACCCACTTTCCACGGGAGACTAAGAATACAACTTCAGTGGGCAAATCACTCCCAACTTGGCAAAATTACCTTCTGTTATAAAGATCTGAGAAGTTTGTTTTTCCTCTGGATAAAGCTAATTGGTTAACACAGACGGTCAACCCAGTTACCAAATAAAATTAAGATGAATTATGTGTGCAAATGGTATTCTCAAGGCCTCGTACTTGAGAACTGGTTATCTTGAAAACTCATGCCATGGGTTGTATCTGCTTGGCTACAAAAAGGTGAGCGATTTCTTTCTGTCTTTAGAGTCTCTCTCCTAATTGCCTGCAATGCACATCACATTCTGGTTTAATTCTGTTTTATTCCTTTATTGCCTTTGTGGAGAGGATTTCTGGGTTGGGAAAAGATTTTGTTTTTAATTCTATTTCCCCATAAATACTTATGCCCAAAATATTGAGACCAGGAAGCTAAGGAAAGTCGTTGTATTTTGGTTTTTAATGTGTTCTCAAAAATGATCTCAGATTGGATGATACCTAATTGCTGAACTACTACATTTGAATAGAATCAGAAATGATAACAGTTAATGTTTGGTTATGTATTTTGTAGTGACTGCTAACTGCACAAACTAAGCATATGTGAACAAACCTCTTGAAAATTAACTTTCCGTGAATACTAAATATTATGTTATATGGCATGTCAATATGAATGAAATCCGTGAAATGTTTGTGCATTAAATGGTTAGGTAAAGCCAAAATACAACTTTGGAGATTGCTTTGCCATGGCGTATCTTTTCCAAGACCGTGAGGATTTCTCTACCTTTATGCAAAGAGAAGCTAAATCTGCAAAGATTTGTTTGGTGAATTACTTATTGCAGAATAGTTTCTTTCTTTCTTTCTTTCTTTTTTTTTTTTCCCCAGAATAGTTTCAAATAAAAGGCTACTGGTAGGGACACCTGGGTGGCTCAGTGGTTTAGTGCCTGCCTTCAGCCCAGGGTGTGTGATCCTGGAGACCTGGGATCAAGTCCTGAGTCGGGCTCCCTGCATGGAGCCTGCATCTCCCTCTGCCTGTGTCTCTGAATCGCTCATTAATATAATAAATAATTTTTTTAAAAAAGTCTACTGGTGAATTAGGACGTTTGATATGTATCATGTGTATGTGTGTGATAAGGAACTCAAATCTCTGAAAATAGTAAGAATCCTTCTAGTTCAACCATCTTCTCCCGTCTTACCTATTCACTCAAAAAATTTAAAAATTGCTTGCCATATGCCAAGCATTGTGCTAAGAACTGCAATTTTGAATGAATGTACTTGGGAGTAAATGAATTTGGAAAAACCTATGCTGCATTTCTGAAGCTGAATAAAGCAATTACGGCAAATCCAGTTTAAATTTTCCATCTGTTTTAATTATCACTTTGTATTGCAACAAATTTAATAAACACCTGATTTCACCTGATTTCAAAAATACTGTGCAACTTTTCTTACCTCTTGTAAATGTAAGGAAAGTATGGAAGAATAAAAGAAAATAATTTCCTGTGTGCATGTTCCACAGGCTCTGTAAAATACTAGCCACCCACATGGGGCCTAGAGGGATATGTATCTTAGTTGAAGTTGTTAGCATAGGATTTAAGAGGCTCTTCTATCGTTAAAATTTAGATCTATACCAGGTACTACTATGACTTAAAAGGCCCTAGTTCTGCCTCGCTATAGATTAAAATAAAAAACCTCTTTACTATATATTCAATTTTAACAAATACCAATTTTTCTCTGTTCTAATAACATTATTTACCTGGACAAATGAATACAATAACATGGATGTCAAAATTTCAGCAATTCTTAATTAAAAATTATTTTAGGGATGCCTGGGTGGCTCAGTCAGTTAAGCAACTGGCTCTTGACTTCAGCTCAGGTCATAATCTCAGGGTCCTGGGATGGAGCTCTGTGTGAGGCTCTACGCTCAGTGGGGAGTCAGCTTGATAGCCCCTCCCTCCCCACTCTAAATAAATAAACTCTTAAAAAATAATTATTTTTTAATTTTTTTAAAAGATTTTATTTATTTATTCATGAGACACACAGAGAGAGGCAGAGACACAGGCAGAGGGAGAATCTCCCCTGCGGGAGCCCAATGTGGGATTGATCCCTGGACCCAGGATCACACCCTGAGCCGAAGGCAGATGCTCAACCGCTGAGCCACCTGGGCGTCCCTAAAAAATTATTTTTTAAAAGTTCTTCCCTTACCCTATCTCCCCACTACTTACCCCCTCCTCTCCATTTTCCTATGTAATAGTTTCCCATTATTGGCTTCAAGAGAAATCTTGGCTGTGTGCCCTGTCAGTTCAATACTCACCTGTCAGTTCACCCCTTACTCTTTCCTTGATCTATAGTTCTCTTTTCCTCCTTTCTGCCCTCCTTTGCTTTATGACTCTGCCCTCTCTTAACCACAATTCATACTTAAGCACCAGCGCAAACCTCTTAAAATGGGAGATCGTGATGAGGCGTGCAACATGGAAATCATAACTGTCTTTATGTGCTGCAGTGTGTTTTTAGTGCATATATAAACTTCTTTGATTTTGAAAACTGTTCTCTTGAGTAATACTGTCACTAGAGGTCATATTTATGTGAGATTTCCTTTTGGATTTTGTTTTTTTTTTTTTTTTTTTGGCTTTCCAAATTTCCAAATTGCTTTATGGCTTCCTTTATTTTACAAATGTGTGTAAGAAAAATAAGGGAGGAAAGAAGGTGAAGGAGAATTGGAGGAAAATTTCTATCTTCAAACTAGGTATTGAATCCATTGATGCCATCTCACAACCATCCCTCCCTAGCAAAAGGCTGGCTGGCTTCCTAGCACTCTAATATTGCTTCCCCTGCTTCCCTGACCTGCTCACCATTGAGAAATATGACCATCAACATTTCCAATCAAGCCATGCCCTCCCCAAAGTGCCTCTGGGTCCCTCAAGGCTTGTCCCTTTTTATGTCTCAGAATTTACCTGTCCTTTCCCTCATTCCCTGATTCCTAGTTCACTGGAACTTCAAAGATAACTGTCAAATGTGTGCCAGTGAGGGAGTTCTGGAGTAATGATGGATTAATACACTAGCTTCATCAGAATCACCTGAGAACCTTTTCAAAAATATATACTCCTAGATTAACCCTCCAGAGATTCCAACTTGAAAAGTCTGGGAAGAGCTCAGAAAATCTGTTTGAACTGAGAACAATGAATCTAGTCAACATGGTGCATTGCATATAGGCGCTTAACTCTGCCCCTTCCCCAGAATCCTTGGCACAGCATAAATACAGATCCAGATCACCAGGAATGCAAGGCCCAGAGATCTCTGAAGGCATGAAGTGATAAGAAGGGCTGAAAACAACAGAACTGGTTGATAATCTATATCAGGAGTAAGCCTTCATATCACTTCCCAACTAAGCCACTGGGTAAGATACTGCCCTAACCTGATCCAGAGGCAATAAGATATACTCCGTGGGGAGGGTGAAGACTTGGAGACAGTTAGGGGCGTAGGGGTGAGGAGTCTTACTGCACATCAGGGTGAAGGGAGTAAGGGAAAGTCTGCACACTGAACTACGAAATTCCTCTCCCACTTAGCTCCTATAATGGCACTTTCTAGAATTGCATCCAGCAGAGAAGATATCAGGATGGCTTTTTAATGAAACTGACTTGCCTAAGGAAAAATATTTTCATGTATCTTGGGGGGGGGGGCGGTGGATTCATCTGCCTAATCACATCAAAATCCTCAAGTTCCAGCCAGGCAGGCAGCTCCTCTCCACTCTTACCCATGAACAGACATCTGAGGATCACCATACTTCTGAGGAAACCCCCAGTCATGAAAACTAGACAAGACAAAATTTGCAGAGGTAGGGAGAGGGAGCTGATTGTAACCACAGCAGAAAACAAAAAGAAACCTGAGAACTATTAGTGATATCCTTAAACAAAGAAAAGATCCATTATGAAAACAGGATGCTATTTTTTAAAAGAGATTTTCAAAGGAAAAAAAAAAAAGATCTTTTGGAAATTACAAAATAAGAAATGTTAAAGTTCAAAAGAAGATGATAAACTGAAGTCTTGAAGTCTCAGAACAAGAAAAAAAAGACAATTAAAAAAAATGAGAGAAAAGAAAACCTAGGATCAATCCAGGCATGTCCAGTGTTTTCACCATAAGCATCTTTGCTGTAGTCATCATCGCTGCAAGCATTTTCTCACCTAACAGATTAGCTGTGAGGCAATTTTGCCATAAAAGATAAAATAACTGGATGACAGTTTGGTTTCAATTCTCCAGTGACAAAGTTCCCATTTCTATGTTATATAAATCTTAGCTAGCCCTCATAATGGTCTATACAGTAGACGTGGTGGTCTTAAAACAGTGGATGATAACAACTGCATTTACCAACTTGATAGAAAATAATGGTGATAAAATTTATTGGAAAGTGTGAAATAATAGAGTGTGAAGCCAGATTACACACTGTCCCAGAAAATGGTTACACATCAGTTACAACGATAACAAAGCTCAGTTAGAAACGCATTACAGCATTAGCATCTCATCCACAGTTCTCGCTGAACTTTAGAGCATCTATGAGGAACACGTGACTCTATGTGAAGAACAAACAACAGTGTAGACGGTTTTCACAATGCAATACAAAGCTCAGGTAAAAATATTGCATCTCAGAATTTGGAAGACTGATGCCTCGCTTAATGAATGAAGAAATTATTAATTTTATTAATTTTTTTTCACATTTTGTTAGAACCTTTTTATTTTTCTTTATTTTATCTTTTATGATAAAACTGCTTTAGGGCCAATTAGTTATGCAGTGAAAAAGTCTGCAGCAAAGATACTTGCAGCAAAGATGTTTATGGCAAACTACCTAGAATCCAATCCAGGAGGTGAACATCCAACCTCTTAGGGGTTCCAAAAAGAGAGGAGGTGGGTGGAGGAGGGGCAGAGTTATGGAAGAAAGACATTTTTTCCCAGAAGTGAAAGAAGTGTTTTTCCAGATTGAAATCCATCTACAGGATCCCTGGGTGGCTCAGCAGTTTAGCGTCTGCCTTTGGTCCAGGGTGTGATGCTGGAGTCCTGGGATCGAGTCCCACATCGGGCTCCCCACAGGGAGCCTGCTTCTCCCTCTGCCTGTGTCTCTGCCTCTCTCTCTCTCTCTATGTCTCTCATGAATAAATAAATAAAAATCTTTACAAAAAAAAAAGAAAGAAAAGAAAACCATCTAGTGAGTGCTTTGCAAAATGAATTAAAAAGGCTCACAGAAAAACATTTATTCCTGAAATGTCAGAAAGCAGAGATAAAGAGAATCCCCTCAAAACTTCAGACAGAATAACAGACTGCAGACGGAGGATTAGGCATGATAACAGAGAAGGGAATTGGGCTTTTCAATAATGATACTGTAAACCTGAAGAAAATAGAGAAATATCTTTAAACTCCAAAGGGAGAATGTTTACCATCTAGAATTACCTACAAACCCAATCAATCAACCAAGTGTAAGACAAAATAAAGGTGTTCTCAGACGTGCAAGATTACAAAAAGCTTTATTCCTATGGAGCCTTTTCTCGGGGAGGTACTTGAAGATATTTTCCACCAAAAAGGAGAATTTAAAAAAAGATGAAGACATGGATCAAAACTGGAGAAAGGAAAAGGGAATACCCAGGATGATGGTGAAAGAAATTTCTAGGATTACAACTGTATGATAGGCCTAACTAAAGAGCAACTAGTACAGACTGAGGTAGGAGAAGGAATGTCTCCAGAACTGGTATCTCTAAGAAAAAACAACAACAACAAAAATTGGGATCAATAAATTCTCAGTATATTTGACTACATAGAGAGATGTATTAGCATTATAACAGTTTGGAGATGACAAAACAGCAGGCATATAAGAAATGAAGCAAATGGAAAATGATTGCGATTATTACCTATGGTAAAAAATATTATGAAACTTTACATTTTGGGATCCCTGGGTGGTGCAGCGGTTTGGTGCCTGCCTTTGGCCCAGGGCGTGATCCTGGAGACCCGGGATCGAATCCCACATCGGGCTTCTGGTGCATGGAGCCTGCTTCTTCCTCTGCCTGTGTCTCTGCCTCTCTCTTTCTTTCTCTCTCTATGACTATCATAAATAAATAAAAAAATTTAAAAAAAATTTAAAAAAGGAACTTTACATTTTAAAAATGTAATCATAGCATGCATGTGACTCAGCCTTAAAAAAAAATTACATATGGGCACCTGGGTGGCTCAGTCAGTTAAGCCCAGAGTCCTGGGATTGAGTCCCACAGCAGGACCCCCACTCAGCGGGGAGTCAGGTTCTCCCTCTCCCTCTACCCCTCCTTCCCTGCTCATGCTCTCTCTCATGCTCTCTCAAATAAATAAATAAAATATTTTTTTAAAATCATACAATCTTCCTAATCTAAGATCTGAGTATTGTTTAGCCCCAAATTACAATATTGTAGATACTACGATATTTTAAGAATAGGGTGAGGGAGGCTATTGAGTGGAAGTAGATATAAGATAGCTAAATCTACTTCTTTTACAGTAGGAAGCCAGCAGATAATTCCTAATACTGAA